CAGTCCCTGCACAACATCATAATTGGCATTGAGCAGGTAATGTGAAAAGCAACAAAACTATAACAATGTACACCAATTTTGACAGTAAATTAATTTTTTCTACATTTATACTTCCTGCCTCTTGGGGTATTAATGCAAAAATCTAAATACAGATGTTTTTTTTATTTTATTTCTGCCTGTCATTAAAGTTAGCGTGTATTATTTTGCAGGCTGAAAATGTCTCAGTTCGCGAAAATAAAAAATTAATAGAAAAATTCAATGAGAAGAACACAAGGGGTAACTAACTACATGTCTGTAAAACAATATGCATGAAGGAACTGACTATATTCATACAAGTGTATGTTGATTATTCTATTCTTGTGTTGAGGAACACAAACCTTATGGTAAAGTCCAACATTACATTAAAACATTACAGCTTTACAAGGAATATTGAGCTTTTATGGAAGAGATTAGAAAAACACTGTAATGTTATTTTATTTTGAATTGTTTGCTGATAATTTTGTGAATCTGCTGCTGTGAAAAACCCATAAACTCTAAACACATTATTGCGCTGATCTATAAAGCCACTCACAGACTACGAGAGACCATTTCACCACAATGAATAGCAATGACATAAAATATTGTTACAAGTATACTATTCTTGTTTGAAAGTAACTTTTAGTGAGGAATGGTACTCATTCAGTTTTTTAAAAAACATTATTTCTTAAGAAAAAGGTGATGTTTTCAATTGCCCCTCTATGGGAAGGCTAATATCTTTTGGGAACAATAACTTTATTTGGGCTTCTTAATTTTTTTTGACTGAAGTGATTCAGTAATTATTTTTATTTAACAGGTTTAATTCAAAATTCACTGTTTCAAAACTAGGATGTAGGACACAATTTCATATTAGAAGCACATCGTTCACAATCCATTTCCCATGTAATGGATTATGATGAAAAAATAAGTTTTAAAAAAAGAGCCCCTGTAATCGAATTGTGTTGGTGTTTAAACTTTGTTGTGAGCATTTAAAAAAAATAAATGTTCATTAAAATTGTATCTGAGTAATTATTTGTTTTTGCAGTAAGCTGCATGCATAATGCTATGCATACTTGCAGCTTGTTGTTTATGTCTATTTGCTCAGGGCAGCATTTATAAAAGAAGCAGCTCTGCTTGTGACAGTATATTATAGAAAATACAACTAAGGTCCATATTCTGCTTAAATATTAGCAGGAATAACATACTCAATTGACACTGGTGAATTATTTGGAAAGAAATCTCTAAATTGAATTGAATTGAATTAAATTAAATTATTATTCTTTTTTTAATTAAATTACTTTTCCCCAACATGTTCTGGGCAACTATGTCCCCTGTGTGCAGCAGCAACACAGGGGAGGCAGTTGCTTTGCAATAGACGGTAGAGGTTATTTTATGCTCTAAACAGATTAGAAACTATTTTCCACCAGGAACGTCAATATGTTCAGTTGAAAGGAAAATAGAAGAAAATCAGAAAAAAAATTGCCATTAAAAAAAAAAAAAAAAAAAAAAAAAAAAAAAACAATGGAGAAGAGAGTTTAAAAGATAACAGGAACTTTATAATAGAAAACTTTGCACTGGTGAAGTAGTTTGTCTTCTTTGTTCAAAGGCTGAATTGTCTGAACCTTCTGTTGAATTCAATAATTTGACATCAAAACAAAATCTAAGTCAAAAGTTTGAAATAACATTGTCATTTGTTTATTTATCTAATTTTTATTAGGGAATCTGTGGGTAAAATAATTGAATAGAACAGAACTGAATTCATATGAATAGGAGATCAAATGTAAAATCTCCAACCCAGTTAATACCAAACCTATTTTTGAAATCACTGAAATCTTTGTAACTCCGTCTGGCTTCATCATAGCTGCTCATCAGAACATGTGTCTGATCTTGGGCGGGGTTCGGAGTGGGGATGCTGATGCTGCGATCCGACTGCGCGCATGCGCGTTGCCATGTCCTGTATTTCATCACATCTTTTGTGTTACCGTACAACGCATTCAGCCATCGAGCCTGTCCAGAGGTAAGTAAATACTCAGCGGTATAATGAGTCATAACATGACTTGATATTTAAGCATTGTTACTCGACGCTAACTCGAAGCCAGTCTAGTATTTAATACGCACCTGCTCAAATTAGGCAAATACAGGAAATAGTCGGGCTCAGCAGCTCGCGCGCTCCCTGCTTTCCGCCATCGTCGTTATTCTCGGTCTTAGGTTTTCGGTTTGTATCTAAAACAACAGTTTCGACCATTGTATAAATGCAGCAGAACATTCACACTTTAATAACCCGTTTCTCATTTTGTCATGGTGCAAAAACCTCAGCGTATTTTATTGGAATGTAGTAAAACCAGCAAAAAGCTTTTACGTCACTGCAGCTCTGAAATAAAATTACTTTCATTTCTTGTGAAAGTTTGAAAAGTTTGGCATTCAGTGGTATACATTTACCTCTACTAAATAACATTTAGTAACGACAATATAAATTCACTGAGGGCACGAGAAAGCAACGCTTCAACTTGACATCGGTAGATTATTTATTTAATATTCTATTATAATCTTAATCTAAGAACAGCTGTTCTGCGGAGGCACATGGCTTGTTTTCATTCACGAACACGTGAATAGATTATGGAAAGGTTCACAGTCTGTCTGTCTATCTCTCTCTCTCTCCTAAGCGTTACAATATTAGCAGAGCTCTGTTCTATCAATCATCTAGATTCACAAAGAATCTGCTTGGGTCTGAAGTTCTTTGAGATCATGAAACTTTTAGCTCAACATTTAAGTCACTACATTTGGAGAAAATCTTAACACACCCTGATCACACCGTTCCCAATATTGTGTGATGATGGCAGCACTGGCAGCATCATGAAGAGAGAAGGTGGTCAGAGTTTGTGGCCCTATATACAGTGAAATATAAGACCTTCCAAAAAGAAAACCTGCAAAGGTTTGCCTTTAAGCAGCTCAACAAACGTTATAAATACTGTATTTTCATTTTACTTCCACTTGGGAAGTAAAAAGAATAATAACACCTAAAGTTATTATTAGTGTAGGAGGTAATTATCTGTGTTTGACCTTTTTATATTTTCTATCTAAACAATAAATAGAAATATTTGCAGCTTGTTTTGTGTAAAGTTGTGTATTTCGTGTGAAACAGGATCGTCCAAACATGACGTCCCGTGTTGGCCCCAGAACTGCCAGTACAAATGGAACTGACTTCAAACCCAGAGAAAAGGTGGCCCCACGTTACCAGATGAGGCAAGTATACAGTTTCTATTGATCATATTTGCTCTTTTTTATATATCCAAACCACAATCTGAATGTTGACTTTCTATACTGCAGTGCTTCCCTGAAGTCCGAGGTTCGGAAGCTGAACTGGGTCCACCTTCTGATCTGGTTGCTAGTGGCTGCACAAGTCATTGTGAGCCACTTTGACCTGGTGTCACACGACACAGTGTCCATACCGTACCAGTGGGAGTACCCCTACCTGCTCAGCCTCATCCCCCTGCTCTGCAGCAGCCTGTCACTCCCAAACAATAACATCAGCTACCTGGTTATATCCATGATCAGTGCAGGGCTTTTCTCAGTGGCGCCTCTCATTTATGGTGGCATGGAGATGTTTCCCGTAGCTCAGCAGCTCTATCGCCATGGAAAAGCTTACCGCTTCATTTTTGGCTTCTCTGCCGTGACTGTTATGTACCTCATCATGGTGGTTGCTGTTCAAGTGCATGCGTGGCAGATATACTACATGAAGAAACTTTTAGATTCGTGGTTCGATGCCACTCAGGAAAAGAAGAAGAAATGAATGTATAAAATGGGCTGCTTCTGGAAAATTTACGTTTATGTTGTAAGTTTCATTCAGTTGCATTTATTTGGTCAGAAAAATCCCACAGCATAACATATTTAAGATCCTAGAACAGTAATAAGTAGCAGGTTAGCTTGCATCTTGTGTCTGCAGTAACCAATGAAATCTTTGCACCTTCTTCAGTTTTTCTATACAAAGAACTCAGGTTACAGTGATTTCATTTTGCTCATGCTTACATAAAAGACTCAAGCTGAGACAGTGTATACATTTGCTTCTAAACGTCGAGTGTTTGTTCATATTAGGTAGTTTATTTGATTATGTTATGTAAATTATGATTATATCTCTATTTTTAGTGAGGAAAAAAATATTAAAGAAGAAATAAAATCACAACCTCCGTCTGTTCGGTTATTCTAAGCACCCTAATGACACTGTTCATTTTGACTTGAAGAAGCAAAAAATATGTATGGTACGTTTTCTTGATTACATTTAGTTTATGTCTCCAAAACTATTGTATTAAAAATTAATCAAAATAAATGTATCACAGTGTGTTCATATAGCACAGTTGGCTTAATTTAATGTGCAAAGTATTCTTGCTACAAAGAAAAAGCATCTAAATTTCTAAAGGTGAGAATATTTTCTCACCTTGAGCTTGCGTGGTGCCCACTGCATTGGACAATTAATTTGAAAACCAACTCAGAGGAGTTGCAAACCAGCAGTGTGATGTGTCTTTACCACAAAATTGCGGTCAACTGTGTTACAAGATTTTGACAAATTCTGAAATCAATTACAATAATTCTGTCATTCACAGAAACGGCAGCAATTAATGTTCTGTGTTATGCAGACTTTCACAGATGCTTAAAAAATGTTACATTTTGTCTAGGGAGTACCTTAGTTGGTCACAGGCTTTTTAGGTACTCTAATATTCTGTTTGGATATGTAGATATTGGTGGGTCCATATCTTTTAAACAGGTGGAATCCCAAACACTGACATTCTCTGATATTAAAATATAATTAAAAGTATTTTAATTTTAACCATTAAAATCAAAATATTAATTTTAGATACCTCTTTGTGCAGTGCAATGGGTTGCCTTTCAAGCTATTGACTACAAAAGAAATGTAATCCGGTCAACCTCTTCTATTAAGAGGGGAGTAGTCCTAACCCAATTTTGTTCCAGACGGTCTGCGGCTGCGCAGAGAGAATGCCACGTACTGGTTGACGTTGACAGACTGGCTGACACTTCCTGATGCTGGTTCCTGGGCTTAGCTAGGCCGGCTAACAAACTAGAACTTCACGGTTCGGGGAAACCTGTGAAAACACAGCGTGGTGAAGTCGTCTGATTCAGGTAGAAATACCGCATTGGTTTGGGTGTTTAGCTGTAATCACTCAGCTGTTTCTATGTAATCCCTGTCTGTTAGCTGCTAGTACTTAGCGGCGTCTGGCTAATGTTTCCTTTGCTAACTCCATAGCTAACGATGCGTTGGTTCACCCTGAGGCTGATTCAGCAAAATTTCCGTTTTCAGTTACCCATAAATGTTATTATTTAGACTCCAACAGTGTATAAACAACAGTGTTTAGACTCCAATACACTGTTGGATTATAAAATAAACTGTTGCCTAGCTGTTTATGCTTGTTAATTGTAGAAACGCATCTAAGTTGATTCTTACTGACCTTTGGTGCCAACTGAAATTGATCTAAGTAATTTATTACATTTGCATACTGTCATAGATATATTTTCTAACGTGATTGTTCATTACGCTCGGCTGGTGTAGCCCATGTGTCTGATACTGAAAAGGCCTGGATTGTCAAACCTAACCAGTCACAGTGTGTTGCTGTTATTGTGATAAACAAAGTTGGGCGGCTCTTTTTTGCGACCAATAAACGCAAAGTTGGTGTGCGCCATTACTTTGTTCATTAAATCCCAGAGATTTTTGCTCCATGAAGCCACAGAACAAATCAGTTTCTCGGTGTCGCCATTTGATCTGCTTGTGTGCTAAAGGTTAGCAGCAACACAATCCCTAGCATCTAGCCAATTACTCATCTGGCCAGAACTGCCGAAGCAGTAGGATTTCTGCAAATAAATCCCACAGTGGGGCTTTGTTTTGGCATAAACCCCTCACATACTGAATCTACGGGATGATAATAACTGACGTGTTGAATCATAGCTGACGTTAACTTAACATAATCACAGTATTATGTAGTATTTAATGTGTCAGAAGTCACACTGAAACATGTTTGTTAAATCCTTCTCTCTCTCTTTCTTTTTTTATAAGAACATTTGCATACAGAGATATGAAGCCTTACAAATGAAAATGCAACCTTATCACAAAAAATTACTTCACTACAACAGTAACACTAATTCATGATTAATTATTCCCAAATGACATATAATTTCACTATTAGACAAGGTTTTCTGCCTTGTCAAATAAATTGTTTCTGGATTGTTTTCCCAAAAAAATCAGATTATAATTAAAATTGATTTAAGTTCACTTGTGACAAAAAAAATTAGTTGTTTTCTCCACTCTGTTGTTTTGAGTCTACTCTGAGATTTATTTATTTTTTTCTGTTTAAATCTAAACCTAAGTTATGTCTTTAATATCTATATAGGTAATCAAAATCCGATCATATAAAACACAACCAGGAATGGAGAGGCTGTTATAAAAAAAAATATATAAACTAAAAGCTTTCAGCTTTTAGTTTATATATTTTTTTTATCCTCTTAGATGAGGAATAAAAGAAATCCTGATGATGGCAGTCAATTGTCATGTTAATGTTAAATTAAGGTGAATGACCATTCTTATCAATAAGACTGAGAGTTCTGGTCAAAGTCAACATGAAGGCTGTCTTTGCCACTTCACAGACTGATGTTTGACCCTTAGACTCTTCTCTTCATTGAATCTCTGATATTATTATTTTGATAATAATAATATCTAGATTTATTGCGCAAATCTAGAACTACCAAATACATTTTTTAATGTAACATTTTGTAGTCCTACAATCTTATTTCTGCAGCCACCCACCTGATCTGCTGACATACATTTGAGGAATTTCTGCTTGATTTTGTTGGCCTCGTGACTGGCATCTCACAGATGTTTGTAAACCTGCCTCACAGACAGAAAGTGGTGTTCATCAACCAGGACAGTCACCAGGGTAGAGCCTGATAGCTCATGTTTGTTTTTACTTTTTTTTTCAGGCATTGTTCAGCTCAATACAGAAGGGATATTTATTGCAAAAAGTCACAATCAATTAAATTATCTGACTAGTGACAGTTATATTGTGAAGCAGTGTAGTTGGGGCTTTACATTACGTGACATACTTCAATAGGACTGTGCTTTTGCTACTACTTGATGCACAGAGGCATATTTTCTTTGTTACTGTGGAGTGGCAGAATAAACAGCAAGTCTATTCATACTCATGACCTAAACATAATGACCCATTTCCAATATACAGACCCACTGTCTTACCCAGTTCATTTTCTGAACTTGTCCAATAAATGTATTCACTAACTTTAGTGCTAACATTTAGCTTTTTATTGCGCAAATCTAGAACTCAACCCAGAACAATTGGAACCATCATGTAGTTTTATACCTTCTAGAACCAATCATGGAGAAACAACATTAAGTTTTGGTTCAGAAGAAGAATCCAGAGGAACTAAATTATGAACTACTTATTTTTATGAACCATGTGGAACCAATATGTAGCTATATACTTTTATCTGTTTGTCTTTTGGTTTTGTTTTGTTTGTATTTCCTTCTACTTTATGTAAAACACTTTGAACTGCTCTGTTGCTGAAAATGTGCTATATAAAATTACCTTATCTAACTTTACCTCAGTGATTTAATATAGTAAATGTCAATCTCAAAAAGAAATTGATTAAAAAAGATAACAGTTATATAAAACTTTTTTTAGAATTCTTATTTCGGGAGTTTTAAAAGTTTAGACTTGAAATTTGAGGTGTAAATTAAAGAAAGATAAAGTGTTTTTAAACATGCCCCTGTTGTTCCTTGGTAAGGCAGTGGGAACAACAGAGATCAGACGACACCATGAACGGCCAGCTGGACCTGAGCGGCAAGCTGATCATCAAAGCCCAGCTGGGCGACGACATTCGACGCATCCCTATCCATAATGAAGACATCACATACGATGAGCTGGTGCTGATGATGCAGCGTGTCTTCAGAGGCAAGCTGCAGAGTAACGATGAAGTTACCATTAAATACAAAGATGAAGGTGTGTCCCTCTCTTCTGAACTCAATGCAAAGTGCGTTTCCCTCAGTTGTATCGTATAACTTTAGCACATTTTTTTTCATTTTTGTCTTTTTTCTATTTCCAGATGATGACCTCATCACCATTTTTGACAGCTCTGACCTCTCCTTTGCAATCCAGTGCAGTAGAATACTCAAATTGACATTATTTGGTAAGCTATATATATATTTTTACATGTTCACCATAAGATCTAAAATTTTCATTTTTTATGCTGTTCCATCAGCCGGTCACTGGAGGGCAGTCGAGCTTTTGTTTTCTCAATGCTCTGCCCTGTGACTCAGTATCTGTGGAATTTCACTGTGTCTCCTAGCATTGGATGAGCAAACAAATAATAACAAATTTTACAAATCTCACAAAAGCCAGTCGTGGCAGTTAGACTGGGTTATAAAGCCTAATTTAAATTGTGCACTAGCCCTGTTCATTTTAGCCGTAGCTCTTAGAAGTGTTACTGTTTCACAATACCTCTAATGTCATGTCACTCAAGGCTTCTGTCAATAGTTCTTAGTAACGGTATATCTTAATATTGCTAATTCATTAACATTGAGTTTTCAGTTCACTATGTATTTTCCAGTGTGTGTATTTATGTCTAGTAAGGAAGTTTATTTTCTGGAAAGTGTTTGATTTCTATATGAAGTCCATTAAAGTGCTTGATATTCCATCTGCACAGTTTAATGAGAAAAAACTCAGTCAGGTGATTATTTGTAGTATTTAAGCATTATGTGAGCAGGAAGTTCATTTACCTTAACACAAATCTTTTTGTTCAATATAATATTTATGCCTAATAGCTTTATTGAAATAAAGGAGATCTTACATTTCATATGTTAAAATAATTGAAATTGAAGGATTTTTTTTCTTTAAATTAGTGTTTTGTTCTCAGACCAGTCATATGGATAGGCTGTGTGAGAGAATTATCACAACATAAACTTTTGTTGCATTTTAGTTTGTCCATGCTATGTACAATACCATCATAAGTCGTTATTTATCAATTATATAATGTTGTAGTAAATTACATTATACATTACATTGTCTTCTTTAGTTCATTTGTATTGCTTCTAACTCCAAAGTGTGGTGCGGGAAAAGTTTAAAAACTTTTCAAACTTTTGGAAAGTGCTTGAATTTTTACTGTAGGGAAAAGCTTACGAACCAAAAATTGAAAGATGTTCTTCTTCTTTGAAATGAGGGGGAATCAATACAAGCCCGAGCTTTGGATCAAATGCTATGACCTCATCTGGAGATTACTGCCTTGATCTTGTGCCAAGTTTGAAAGGGGTAAATCATGCCTGTGATCTCAGAATGGCCAACATCTTGAACCAGGGCGTTGTGCCCTGAGCCGTTTCCACAAACACCGGGAAGCCGATATGAGGAACTGATATGGAAAAATGTCTACTTTAGTTATTCTTTCCTAATTTTCTCTCTCAGTTCAGAGCGGAAAGTCGCGATTGCAGTTGTTGTGCAAAGAAACATTGGATTATGTGTAGAATTCTGCACATAATCCTGCAAGTATACGACTGATTCTTTAATAATTTTTAATGTGGTAATTGTTTTTATTTGCAGTGAATGGTCAGCCACGGCCTTTGGAATCCAGTCAAGTGAAGTACCTGCGCAGGGAGCTCATTGAGCTCAGGAATAAAGTCAACAACCTCCTCGACAGCCTGGAGCCGCCCTTAGAGCCTGGAATGACCTCCACAGCGCCTGAAAATGGTGAGCAACTCACCTTAACATGATACATCTTCAACTAACAGAAGAGAGACTTCTCTCTGTTTTTCCCTTCCTCATAGGACTTACCAGAATAGTTTGGAGGAACTTCCCAAAAGTAGCAGCTGCTTGTATTTTACTTATTTTACAAGCAGAACTGAAGGAAACGTGTCTGACATAGACTCTGACACCAAACTGAGGCAGTTTATACAAGTCTCTATGAAAACATTCATTTGATTATTTTAGCAGGATATTTAGCAGCAGCAGCTCTCTGAACGTCTTATGCACAATTAATTTCGACTGAAGCAGTATAAGAGCAGAATGGGTTCTTACCACATCAGAGCAGTGAGCAAATATTTTGTATGAATCTATTCTGACTAATTTTGTAATTCTCTCTTGACGCTCCCAAATACTGTTTACTTGCATTTACGGTCTTCAAAATGTTCCGTCTTAAAATTGCTTTCTTCCAGAATCAATGGATGGGCGTGAAGGCAAAGTTCTGGCGGCAGACTCAACAGTGAAACAGGCTCCTCCAGTCAGCGCAGCCAGCATGTCGGCCTTTGACCCTTTAAAAAACCAGGACGAGGTCAACAAGAATGTAATCTCTGCTTTTGGGCTGAGCGAGGACCAGGCCCCTGGTACGGCACACTACACAACCGGGACGTTTTTCCTGGAGAGCATCCAGTTTTGTCTCTAACATGCTTCTGTCTTCTTTTTTTTTTATTTTTTTTTTTTTATTTTTTAAAAATTAAACAAAAATTTTAGTTGCTTCCCCTGCTGTTGCAACAGAAGAGCGCTCAGGGACTCCTGACAGCATTGCTTCCTCCTCTTCTGCAGCGCCTCAGCCTGGAGTGCCCCCTCAGCCACAGGCTCCTTATGTTGGGGTACAACAGGGACCCCCCGCTGGAGTTGATGGTAAGAATCTGTCCTACAAAGATCCCCTTGATTAGTGGAGGGGAAAAAAAGACATACTTCCTCAATGGTAAGAAACATCCCAATAGAGAAAGAAGAGTGGTCCTTTGTTTTACCGCTATGAAAGCACGTTATTTCAAAGTTATCACCAACTCAGGCTTATAAACACCATCTTCAGGTTGTGTAGCTGGAGAAATCTGTCTTTTTTTTTGTATTCCTAATTGAAATTTTGCTAGCATTTGTAGAAGCTACTCTTGAGCAGAGTTTCTCAAACTTAACCCATTTAACAAACTCTCAAAGACCACCTAACTTAAAAGTGCCCCTGCAAAAACACATCTAAATATATCACCTAAATATATCCAACCTGAAATGAAAGTATTAGTCTCTTAACTAATAGGAAGTGGTGTTTTAGAAATATGAAAACCATAAACATGCTGATGGCATTTTGAATTATTTCAAATTCTGAAAGTGTAGATTGTAGGTTTTCCAATAATATCAAACACATGGGAATAAATAAAGAAGTTGTTCTTCACTACAAGTGATGTGTGCATTAACATCATTTTAGGGCTATTTGTAGTTCAGAAGCAAAATAAAGAAAAATAGATTTGAGCATTCTTCTGCACCAAAAATTATTTACCCATTTCTATGAGCTGTTTTTATCGTATTTATTCACTGATAAATCATTCTTAATTTAAAAAAAATTACAACAGCTGTTGTGATCTGATTTTGTGCCACTTACTCATTATTTTTAATCACAAGCCTTTGAGAAGCTAATTTACATATCACACTTTGAGCTGAGCTGCGTTAGACGGTCATTTAAATGCAGTACCTTGCGGACCACTAGGGGGTGCGCGTGGCCCACAAGTGGTCTGGGGACCACAGTTTGAGAAATACTGCACTAGAAACCAAATGTCTGGCTAATGTGATGCAAATAAAATAGCTGAGTCATAGAGGATTTTCATGGATAAGTGTTTATAGTCTGGACTCAGCTTCTAAATTTTTTCTGGCTGTAGTTATATTTGCTTTTAGTTGCAGAAATAGATTGTCTCTGATCAACAATAGTTTAGATTTGGGAAATTGAATGAGCCTTATCAGGGAAATTGAATGAGCCTTATCAGGGAAAATGTAACAGAAATTTATAGCAAATTTAAGGTGTGCTTTATTCATTCTAATTCACATCGACATGTTTTTGTTTCTCACTATTTCATAACTTCATACTTTCTAGACTTGCTTTCTGCTTTTTTGGAATTCACATTTGTGATGTCATGAGTGTTTATGAATGAAAAATCACCACCGCAATCCTAAGCAAAATATAAACAAAAGTATCCAAGGAAGTTATCTCACTAATCAGAGGTATTACCATTACTCTTCTCAGTGTGTAATCTGAGACTCTGACATGTTTGGCCCAAGCCAAAAGCCTGATTCATGTAGGCCAATGAAGGATTGTGCATCTTTGCTAGAGAAAATTAAAAATGACTCATTAGTTTTTAATTTTGTGTGTGGTTCCGCTGAAGTGTTACTCTATTCACATTTGTTTCAGTCATCTCTGCGGTTTCATTTATTTTTTTTAACTTTAAGTTATAAAACAGTAATAGTCTTTATTACTTTAAATTATATGAATAGAAACAGCTAAATGTTGTGGGAATATTAATCAAATGATGTTTTGTTTTTATGTCTGTGTAGATGTCCTCTTAAGAGCCATTTTTAGGGATTTCAACTGTTGTTGTTAGAAAGTCTTCAGGCGTTTATGTTCTAAGATACACGCTGCAACAATCAGGTGCAGGTTTTGTTCACCAAGCTCAAAAGAAGCAGATAGGTTGCAGCTGCTGCTTTATGTGGTCAGTGTTCTCTTGTATGGGTTGCACAGGGTTTATTTATTAAAAATCTGTGGGGTAGTGCAAACTTTTTGTGACCAAGAAGCTCTCTTATGTTTGTAGGCAAGTAAACAAGATGGAGAAAGTTATTTACAGTTTGTTGTGGTTACATGTTTCCAAGCAGTAGGAAGTGATGCTATAAAGGCTGTATGGTGCCATAGTTCCATACCTTAAAACCACAACTTTTTCAAAATGTGGAACTCCTTCCCTTTTTCAGCACAGCTTATTCAAAATTCTTTATATTTCAATGTTTCTGCAAATTATAAAATTACTTGACTGTAAAAAAAAAATATATATATATATATTGTCATGTTAATCTAATTTCACCATTGTTAATCTCATTTATCGATAATGCTGTTGTATGGATTGTTGTTCTCTGAACGCAATGGCCCCGTCGGCATCGGTGGACGTAATTTGTGACGACGTTCCATTGTGTGCCACAGAAGAAATAGTAGGGTGAAATGAAAGGTTTTGGTAAATTAAGTGCTGGGGAGAAAAGCATTGTGGTTGAGGCTAGCTCTCTTTCTTAAACATGGTGGTAATCTTGCTTTGCTTGCTGCCAGAATAGTTTTACCCTGCAGGTTTTTGAACAGCTCGGCACGTAGATCAATAATCCGTTTGAATTTCAATAAGTTTTGGTTATCATCCATGGAGCAGAACAACCTCTTTGTATGTAGGCAAACATTTTCCCCTATAAGTCAGTACAGGACCATTGTTTTCCTATGATACATTTTCAGCCGTGATTGGATATAACATTTTTTTTTTCCAAATTTTTTTTATAAATGCATCCCTTATGTCCACTATGGTAACAAGTATTCTGTCTTCATATCTGTCCTGTGGTTTTATTTTTCTCACTTCCAAGGCTGCAGATGGTTGGCACACAAAGACTATAAACCCACCCCTGTACAGACTGCTCTTTTACATTGTGGTTTCTTCACTCTTCACCCTCTTACTACTTTCTGTGGTTGCAGTCTGACAGCCTTGAGGCAAATCAGAACAGCCAGTCTGCGCACAATATTTTGTATAGTAAAATATGAGAGTTTGAAGGCCAACAGAGCACTCGTGTTAGCCAGAAGTCATTTTTAATGGAGCCTTAGTCTGCCTGTTAACTTAAGAATGCTGCTAAAACAATTTGTGAACAAACGGTAAAAAATTTGCCCTTTTTTTTTCCTGACGCTGATTGAACTATGGTAATAATTTCAATCTGTGCAACTCCCCCCCGCACCTCTAAAAAATCTAGACATGTATTGATCAAATGTTCAGATGTCTTATTTGTGTAAAATACTCATTGTAAAACAGGATTTTGTTTTGATGACTCCCAAAGTATCGGTTTTAATGAGCTTCTATGATTAAAGAGAAACTGTTCTTAAGTTTCAGTGAAATCAACATTCAGATCTGCCCATCAATCTTACATAACAGTGCTTATAATGGACAACAGATGATAGCAACACAAGAAAAAAAAAAAACAATTTCACACACGTGGCTCCTCTTACAGTAAAGACCACTGTGTGGGATGTTCATGTGGCGACAGGATAGTTCAGCCCCAAGTTGAGATGTTTCTATTGCAGAGCATTGTGAGAAGATGTAGGTGAATACTTGGCTTAAATGATATGCATGAAAAAACACTGGACCTATTGAATTATGGATCATCGTTAACATGTTCCAGATGCATCAAAAAGAAAAATCTGTTGCCTTGAATTGAGCACTTTTTGTCCAGTTATGGGCCAATCAGAAACTAAATATCCGCTCTATTTTCAGTCAGTGAACGCAACATGCTTACTTGGTCTTATTGGAAGTTATTGCTGAGGGTACACTGACAATTGCCTATTTTATTACTGTGAGTAATAATTTAATTATTACTCACAGTGGAAACCGTCTTGACGCTACCGCAGAACCTAACTTCCTTATTTTTGCTCTTGAGTTATACAGCCAATCAGTGCCAAGGAAAAGGAATGGCGCTCTGGGATTGGTTGCTTTGCACAGCCAAAAGTGAATCCAGTAATTCCCAAGTTGCATTTTATACCAGATACTTTAGATATGATCTGTGAAATGGTCCACAAATAACCAAATTTATTGCAAATAGTTTGGAGAAACAACCGACACACAAAACAAATCCACAAATAGGCATGATCATAACGGACAGGCTCCTTTTATCATAGTTGAGCTTTTTTCTCTGAAGTTTTTTTGGCAGCTTTTATTTTTGAATGGATTTTCTTGGAGAAAAGACACATAATTTGTGATGCTTCAATGGTGTTGAAAATAGTTTCTGCAGTACAGGACTAAACGAGCCATGCTATTATTGTTTTTGATGGGTTTTATTGGCATTTACTTATGCGTCATGACCAAGAGGAGTGTACTGCTAAGCTCTGCAATTTCGGGCAGGTTCTGAAACTCTTAACATTTGATAGTAGAAAATATATTTTATTCACAGAACCTAAAGAGAAATGGAGTGAAATCTGAAATCCCCTCCTTTTCTGCTCTATTGGTAAGAAACGAGCCATAAAATCTCCGATCGTTGATCGCTTTTTTTTTCTTTTTTCCCCAACCGGTAATGTGCTCTGTTCTCTAGCTGCTTGTGTCATCACCATACTTATATACTCAGTGTGAGATCTGGAAGTAAAATTGTGACCTTGTTTAAGGAAAAGACTGACTTGCCAAGTCTCTGCATGTGCGTTCCACACGTGAACCTTTGATGGAAAACCTGATGAAAAAGAAGAATGTGTAGTGTGTGTTTTTTTTCATATCTTAGGATAAAATCATGCAGCTGTGTTATGGTTAAGCAATAAATTATATATTTCTGTTCTTTTTGCAAAAGAACCCCCCCCCCCAAAAAAACAGTAAATGTATTAGAAAGTCAGATGCCTCTTGAGAAATATTCGGGTCACCTCAAGATGTGATGATGCTAAACAATGAAGTCTCAATTTGAAGAAGAAGCCACCTTGCTCATATATTTGCGAACCACAGCTGTTTTATTTGCTGAGACAGAAAAACGGTGCTTTCTTTCTGCATTTTTAGCAACTCGCGCACTTTCTCCTTTACTGAGAGTTAGACCGTTTACATGACGATTTGAGCACACATCCATAAATGTTATGCAGACAAACCTCACATCATCTGATCTTTTAAAAAAAAAATGTATAAGGGAACCAAAAAAATTACAATGTCAAAAAAATGTAAAGCTGACTCTGATATATTTGGTGATGAGCTTCTCAATCGGAGAAGCTCGGTTAACTGTAATTTCACCAAAAGCTATGACATCGTCAGAAACGGGTCATTACACAAGCCGACTGATCTGTGGGGATGAGCCGGAACAAGCAGGGCCTATAAAACCTTTCTAGCCCGGTCGTCCATGTTATGGGCCATAATCTATGCGCCATACTTGAGTTGTTTTATGGAGGGTTGTTGGCCCACTAATTGTGCTAATTAGATTTTAATTGTTGAAGTGCTGTGTTTCCATCTGGAATAACGAGCTCTGAAGAGGAACTGAGAAGGCTTTGCAAGAAGAAACCTGAAAATGAAAATGAAGCTCGATTTCTGGTTTTTACTTCAAAAATATAGGGCATGATATATGGATTTATGCCATGTTTAGCCTATCTGGTATATAGATTAGGTAACAATACAGTTATGGAGAAGTAGCTGTTTTATATTTGGAATGTTTGTAACGATACTGTTTGTCGCTGCCTCCTCAGGTCAGGTGTATCAGCAGTACCAGGCTCCAGGTGGATACCCTCCTCAGCAGCCAGGTGCGCCACCGCAGCAGCAGTACGCCATGCAGTATCCTGGTAAGATGTAAACTGGGCAGGATTATAGGAAAAATGCTTCTGCATTCATTTGATTTAGAAGTAATCTGGCAGTAGGAGCCTCAAATTTCTACTCGAATGCTACAATTCTTGCTCATGTGATCTATTGTGTGAGGAACAGGAACCACCTTTAAAAGACTGTTCAACTACAATCAAATATAACAAATAACAAGAGCAGCTAGTAGGAAGGGATTGCAAAATATCATACTGGAAAAATTCTTTTAGAAAATCATTCAACATCATCTTCTAAATAATCAAAAATGCGTTTGTTTTTAAATTAATATCTTGGTATTTGTATCAGTAAATGCTTTTTGTTGTTTATTTGGATCTCCACTACCCATTTCCATGATGATGACTACTCTTCCTGGGGCCCACATAATAAAAAGAACAGTTATTCACACTGAATATAACATTCGTGGCATAGCAGCTTGATGCATAAATGTACAACTTCAACACTTTATGTAATAAAATAATTAATCGGGGCTCTGACTGAAAGTGGCGCCGTTGGTAGCACTGTTGCCTTGGAGCAAGAAGATCCTGGGTTCGATTCCAGGCCCGGTTTCTGGAGTTTGCATGTTCTCCCTGTGCATGTGTGGGTTCTCTCTGGGTGTTCCGGCTTCCTCCCACAGTCCAAAAATATGACTGTCAGGTTAATTGGTCTAGGTGTGAATGTGTGTGTGCATGGTTATTTGCCCTGTCTGTCTTTGTGTTGCCCTGCGACAGACACCAGCACCTCCTGGTCCCGCTAGGGACAAGGGATGGATGACTAAAAGTTCTGGCAATTGTTACATTTGAAACTGATGGAGGGGAGTTCCATGTTTTTGTTTTTCTAAAACTAAGTTGTTTTTTTTTTGTCCAGAATTCCATTTAAAATGTTTTTGTGTTTTTTCTGGGTGTGACTTCCTTTCTATAATTGCTAATTTAATCGTGTGTTCATGAGGACCTGCCAGAGGACTGACAGGCTAAGTCTGGCATATTTCCATGTTTTATTTTTTAAAATGTTGACCAATAACAAATTCAAATTTAATCTTTAAAGAAAATTCATAAGATGTCCTCCTACTTTTCAGCTGGATACAGTTCTCAGCCTGGAGCCCCTCAACCTGGCCCTCAACAGCAGTTCCAGAACTACCCTCCTCCCTCCTCTCAGGCTCCTGGCCCCGGTCCGGCCCCAACTCCTGGCTTCCAGACCGGCCAGCAGCAGCAGCAGCCGCAGCAGCAGCCGCCACCTCATCAGCCTCAGGGAGCTCAGCAGTATCCACCCGGAGCCTTTGCTCCCCAAAACTATACCTCCCAGGGCTCCCAGCCTGCCAACTACAGCATGCCGCCGAGCTCCCAGCCTGGCTCAGGGTTTCAACCACGCCCGGGCTTCACCCCGCCGCCAGGCACTGCCGTCACTCCTCCGCCCGGCTCTGCTAATCCCTACGCCCGCAACCGCCCCCATTATGGTCAGGGCTACACTCAGCCGGGGCCTGGGTACCGGTAAAAGAGGGCAGTAGCAGGATTTAATAATCCCTCGCCCCATCCTCCCCGTTATGTGGCTCCAACTGTTTAAGGTGTGTGCAGGAAAAAAGGTCGACTGCTCTACAAATATCAAGTCCAAATATAAGAAAAACTGGCAACCCCTCCCTCCCTGTCTGATGGTTAGTGTTCGTACACACCCCTCTGTTCTGGTCCTGATGTTTGCTCCTCACCTTATTTACCCCTCCCTCTGTTCTCCTGCCGCCTCCACCGGGTGTTCTGCCCCCCTGTGTCTGTCGTCTTAACAACAGACCCAGTCTGTATGCGCACACCTGGGAGACCAAAACATGCTGTTGCACAAGCTGTTCTTCGTCCTTTTCATGATAAGGTGTTGTTTTGCGAGTGGGATCAGAATTTGTGACAAAATTCTTCAACAGCTTTGAGTTTACTCTGTAGGACACTATCACGACAAACGTTAGCACGGTGTTTTTGTTTGTTTTATTTTTTGATTAACTTCACCACCATGTTGGTATTAATAATGTGTCTGCCCCATGTTGGGAACACTATAGCTACTGGTTTGGGTAATGAAGGCTTTTATCGTTTAGTTTCTTACCGTCGGTCACCTCCAGCACAGCTTGTATTCCTTTCTTTCTTCTCACTGGTTTTTACTAATGTATATCAAATTAAATTCCTCTCTCAAATGAGATTAGTTGTTCATGTATAAATGTTAACATTTCTTTTTTTTTGTTTGTTTGTTTCTTGAATCGAATAAAGAATTGAGACCCAGTTTGAGTCATTTGTCTTTTCTTAATGTTTTGCAGCTTTTTATTCAGTGTTTTTCTTAATCTTTTTCTGTGGTTTCTGAGTTCACGTCTGTTAAGTATGGTTTGGACCGTTCCCTCTCCTCACCCTGCTTTGGAAAAACTGCAGTAATGCTGCTTATTTCTGCTTTGTTTTTCCTGCCTGTGGGTTGTGCTTGGCTGGGACTTGTGACATGGGAATATGTGGTCTGGTCTACCATGTGAAACCGTCTGAATACACAGTTATTAATAATTTAGTAAAGTGTAAGCGTTGAAATCTCTTAGCAGCTGCTAGCTGAATGTTCTTATGTTTGTATTCATGTGTTACATACCAACACATTTACATCTTCATCATAGTCTTGAGAAGTTTTGATGAACTCTGAAGTGAGAAGGGCAACTAGTAAAAATATGAAACTCCTGATCTCGGCTGACATCGCTGTAGCCTGTTTTACCTTGGAGACATTAGAAAAATAAACACCTGAAGCATTTTCTAATAAATCCTATAACCCATTCTAATTGTAATGTTGCATTAAAAACAGTCTAAAGTATAGTGATCGCAGATGAACCACCGTTTAAGATCATGCCACAGCATCTCAGTTGGATTCAGGTTAGGACTTTGACTAGGCCATCCCAAAATCTTGATGCTCTGAAGCATGTAAGTGTGAGAAACCTTAAAAGCAAAAAAAGAAAATTTGGAAGTGGGAAAGGACATTTTCACACCACTGTCTCTTTCCTTCCCTTTAAATGTCATTTACAGATCCTCTGATGAATACAAGAAACAATAACTCTTAGTTCTCTGTTCATGTCTGCCAGTTTGGAGCTGAAATAAATGTATCAAGTCAGTTCTATTTAAAATGTAAGTAGTTGGGGTAAATAACTTGGGTAAAATGTTATTTGAAATGAGTATGAAGTTGGTAAAAGGCTTGTCTGTCTCCAAAGGCTGAGTAGTAATGAGAGTAGACATTCTTCTAGCTGCATATCATCCAAAACCGGGGAGAGTGGTTGTCTGAAAAAGCAATTCTTAAACCAAAAAAATATTATTAGAACAAGTTATAACGAATGTAACAGAGCTACTCCAGAAATACTGGAGCCATACGTGATGTAATTCCAGAGAATTTCCCACTATTACAGCTTATAAAGTCACTGATACAACTTAATTTTACCAAACCAGGGATGGAGGCCCTGCTGAGTGTTGCAAATCAAAGAGTACAGTCTTGACATCTTCTTCAGAAATCAAAATAAAAGGGAATATTTGTTGAAGATGGTTTATGCTATAAATCTAACAGTAAATCAGATTTGTAGCCCAGCACTAAGACGCGTAAATGCAGCTATTTGAGGGAGGAACAAGTTCTTCTATTGGTATTATAAGTGTTAGATTTTTGGAAATCTGAATCTAAAACTGCCCCAATGCTTTCACAGTAAGAAAAACAACAAACCAAGTATAAAAACAAAATTTATTGCTGGAATTATAAATTGCACCATAGAGTAAAATCAGGAAAGAAAATTATGAGCAATGTCAAGTTATTTACATTTCGCATAATGATTTAAAATAAACAAATATGTTTTAGATATACATAAATTTGACGTGTACTTGCCTTTAAACCAAAACAAAAAACATCTAAAATGCTGCTTCTAAACTTTTGGCTGCCCTACATTTAGGGTTAAGATTTGTGAAAGCCACAGAAATGTATTAAAGCAGAGAAGCATATCATTTTTGACACCATATACATATATGAACAGAAGTTTAACATTGCACAATCTGCAACTGATTTTAGTCCCTTAGTGGCTGCAGAAGCTCAGTTCTGCATGTCTATGTATTTGCACTGTACATGTACCGTGAAAGCACTATTTTCTGTACACCTATGACCACAGTACGTGCTCTCTGACAGAGAAGTGTTGACTGTTTTTTTCTCCTTCAACATCTCAAACGTTTGACTGCATACAGACTATTCATTAATAACCCTTTGATAAATATTATTACACAAGTTAATACTGTTTGAGAGCCAGCTTCCCAACAGTATCTTTATTAATGCTGTATGTTATTTTGGTTCTGTCATCCATTGTGAGATTTTTTTTTTTTTTTACCCATAAATATAGAAATCTACTTAGGTTTTACGTATGTGACCCCAGTAGTCCTTTAAAAGTTCACACCTGAAAAGTTTGGAGGGGAAAAAAAATCTGATATTGCTGTCCAAGAAGATGGGTTTAAGTCTGGTGAGATCTTCTTTCTCGCCGCTGATAAAGTCATCGTCCAAAGCAGCCAGGGGGGAATTTTACCACTTTCCAGGTATGGGTGTGCCACACTCATACCAGCCGACGTATGTCACATGCGACTTTCCTCCGATCTGTCCAAAGCTGACCGGTTCCTGTCTCAGCGCTCTGAAGAACCCTGTCAAAGGAGATGAGCATCCTCATCACAAGAGATTACAGACAAACTGGTAATGAATGAGCAAAATATAGCTCCTGTCAGATGTTCTAAATTTTATTCAATGAATTAGAGTATTCCTTCCAATGAGGCTTGTTGGTCAGATTAAAGTGCCATTTGAAAATAGCAACCTTTAAGCAGAAATTAAGCAGTCTTTTCTTTAAGACCACATTTCTGTATTGAACATGTTCAGGGGTTTTCCTTTGGTCTGATGTAATAATCTGACCTTTAAATTAGTATTTCAATTTACTGCGAGCAGAAAATCAACATACGTAAAAAAAATAAAGGCTTTAAAACGTCAGTTTGTGTTAATTTATCTATTTCAATATGCGCTATGATGTTTTTTTTTATTGATTTATGTCAGCCCTTCTTTATTCTGTGTGAAATTATGGTAAAACAGACAGCTTGAATGATGAATGAAAAGACTACTCGGTGTGCAAGTTTGTGGAATGATTTTTGTCTCCTTTATAAATAGTTGCATGAGAACAACAGCTGAAACACATCATTAAAAGCAGAAAATAGATAAAACATTCATGCTTGTAAACCGTACCTTGCCTGCTTGGTAGCTGGTCAGCCAACATTTGGGTTCCAGTTCGACCGTCCAGGAAGGAATCCACAAACTGACAGTGGTCTTCACCATACCCCGTCTGATCCCCGATGTTGTAAAACTTTCCTGGAATTGGAAGAGTTACCGTTTGTTTGCAACATTTCTAGTTAAAATTTGGAGCTTGCTTTTCAATTTTTTTTCAGCAGTTGTTCATATTGTGCATAAATACCATTGAGGGAGTCACTCAAGTAGATCTTGTATCTCAAGGAGTTGCAGAGCTGGATTCCCACAAACTTCCTGTACCAGGTCCTTTTTATGTACTGCTTTCCATTACATTCAGAGTAGGCATCGGATTTAAATGGGAACTGAGTCCAGATGGCATCTTTTCCTGTGACAAGAGGCAAGACTTTAACTCGCTGTCTGAAGAGAACCGAAATATTCTGAGAAAAAGGAGCAAAGCATTCACCTGATGCCTGCTCGCTTACGCGTGGATCGGCTGCAAACAAGATGGAGTGCAAATCAAAGTACGGTAATAAAATGTGCTGCAAAACTCCAGACATTTGGAAAGCAGTTTCTAAATAGCTACTGAGTTTACAAAGTCTTGAGTGTTAATGACTTAAACCCAAAGGAGGGGTAAAATTAACAGCGTAGCAAATGGTTAGTAAACTTTGTTGAATGAAAAAAAGAGAGAAGCATTTATCATCACAAAACTACAACAGCTCAAAATTATAAGAAATTGTTATTCTTTTTATGTGACAATAAAATCTGATGTTTTTTTAGAACTTACCTGATTCTGTATTAAAAGTGACAGGATCACTAGATGGTCCGACTCCAAGCTCATTTTTTGGTGTTACTTTGAATTCGTAGCTGAAATGGAGCAAAAATAAATGGAAAAAATGAAATAAATCAGTCATTTACACATAAAAAGAATGAAACAGCCTAATCTGAACTGTGAGTATTCTCTCATCTGAAACCAATCCTTCTACTGCGCTGGGAGGTAGCAGGTTTTAATGTCTTCGACAGATGAGTATGAGTTTACGCTTTAACCAGCACACACACGCACACACTCTCGGTGGTTATTCCACATGCTGCATTCAGATGTGTTGGCAACAACCTGCCAAACTAACCCGACCCAGACGGGTTCTGGTGAGCATCCAGAGATTCTAGGATCTCGTTTGAAACTCGGTGACCCACTTTATCGCCACATGTTTCCTTGGCTTTGGTGCGACTGAGAACATACTTGGTTTGTGTGCAAGTATGTGGTTCAATCTAAATAAAGCGTTTGGATTTCTTTTGAGTTACAATCGTCAGTGTAATTCTTGGCTGTGTTTGAAACTGACCAGACGTAGGATGGGTCATGCATGAAGTGTCTGCGGCAAACCTGCTGTCTGGCGTGAGATTCTCAACGGCTGTGTGAGTCTGATTGGTCGTCAGGATGGACACTTCCTGTCCATTCGGCCCGGTGGTTGTTGATACTACCTCATACTCTGATAAACAAGTCAAAGAAACAGTTTTTACATGTCAGATGTTGTCAAGTATTTGAAGGCAGATGGGAAATGGTTTGAGGGTCTTAATCAAAGAATGAATTTCTCACACGCGTACAAACATTTCCTTCACTTGATGAAGTGAGTCATATATTTTCATTATTAAATTTTCCTCACACGTCAAAATGTGTATTCGAGTAAGAGAGAAATCACTTTTAACCAGTTAGAAATAGTTGCAAGCGACTCGAGGTGGGATGTTTTGGAAAGTGAAGGAAATGTTCGACAATAACTTGTCAAAAGTCAAACCTCAAACTAGATGTTTACTGATTCAACATTTTCTCAACAAGTTGATCTCTTCATCCTTTCTTGAATATAAATCTTCGGCTCCTGTTTTGTCTAAATATAACAAAGACTAACCATGAGAAAGAAATAAGTCAAATTGATAGTCTGCCACAACCCACACTGAGGATGAAGTAAACACGTGGAAATACACACTCTGGCCAGATCAGAGGAACAGAACATCCTCGCCT